ACCTCAGTCTTGTCTGTGTTCAACAGGAGAAAATTAAGAGTCATCCAGGTTTTTATGTCTTTAAGACATGCTTGTAGTCTAGGTAGCTGATTGGATTCATTGGGTTTAATGGACGAATATAAATGTGTGTCATCAGCATAACAATGAAAATTTATCCCATGCTTTTTAATAACTTTACCTAATGGAAGCATATATAAAGTAAAGAGTATTAGCCCAAGCAATGAGCCCTGAGGAACTCCATGACTAACTTTGATGTATGAAGAAGATTTATTATTTACATTTACAAACTGGAATCTATCATTTAGATATGATTTAAACCATTTTAGAGCTGTTCCTGTAATCCCAATATCATATTCAAGCCTCTGTAGTAAAATATTGTGATCAACCATATCAAATGCAGCACTGAGGTCTAACATGACCAGTATAGACACAAGTCCATTGTCTGAGGCCATGAGAATATCATTAGTGACTTTTACTAGTGCTGTTTCTGTGCTATGATAAGCTCTAAACCCTGACTGAAACTCTTCAAACAGATTATTTCTTTGTAGATATTCACGCAACTGACCTGCAACTATTTTCTCTAGAATTTTTTAGATGAAAGCTAGATTAGATATAGCTCTATAGGTGGCCAGAATTTCTGAATCAACGTCAGTCTCCTTAAGTAAAGATTTAATTACAGCAACCTTAAAGCTCTGTGGTACATAACCATCCATTAAAGACAAATTAAGTAGATCCGAAATGTGAACATTAATTAGGGGAAATACCTCTTTAAACAGTCTGATTGGGTTGGGATCTAACAGACATGTGAATGGTTTGGATGAGGTTATTATTTTTGACAATTCAGAGAGCTCAACAGGACAAAAACTGTCCAAACATAAATCAGGCTCTAGTGAAATTTTTAAAGTTGCCTCATTTGACAGGGGACTAGAGATAGTAGAAGGAAGGATGGTTTTAAGTTTCTCTCTAATTTAAATAATTTTATTTATAAAGAATCTCATGACGTCATCACTACTTATAGTTGTATGGTTCAACAGAAATGGGACTTTTAATTAGTCTAGCAATAGTACTAAACAGAAACCTAGGGTTATTTTTATTCTCCTCTATTAAAGATGAGTAATATAAAGTTCTAGCTTTACGGAGTGCTTTTTTTATGTGTTAGCAGACTATCTTTCCAAGTTAAATAAAATTCTTCAACATTAGTAGAGCGCCATTTTCTCTCCTGGTTTTGAGATGCCTGCTTTAAAGTACATAACTCAGAATTGAACTAAGGAGCCAGTTTCTTCTGATTGATTACTTTCTTTTTCATTGGAGCAATTTTATTAAGTGAAGTTTGCATTGAAGTTGTAAGATGATCAACTAGATGATCTAAGTCACTGTTCTCTGATGCATTACTCTGCAAGAAAGAGGAAAACATCGATGGAAGAGATCGTTTAAAGATTGTTTGGAGAGGCCATGAAGAATGATTTCCGCATGGCTTCAAGGCGATTCTGGTCCACCATCCGGCATCTCAGTGGGGGGAAGTGTTATACCACTAACACTGTTTATAGTGGGGGTGGTGTGCTGCTGACCTCAACTCGGGATGTCGTGGGTCGGTGGGCAGAATACTTTGAAGACCTCCTCAATCCATCGGCATGTCTTCCACTGAGGAAACGGAGCCTGGGGACTCTGGTTCGGGCCCTCCAATCTCTGGTGCTAAGGTCACCGAGGTGGTTAAAAAGCTCCTCGGTGGCAGGGCCCCAGGGGTGGATGAGATTCGCCCTGAGTTCCTTAGAGCTCTGCGTGTTATAGGGTTGTGTTGGCTTATACGACTCTGCAATATTGCGTGGATATCGGGGGAAGTTCCCCTAGATTGGCAGACTGGGGTGGTGGTCCCCCTATTCAAAAAAGGGGACCCTAGAGTGTGTTCCAACTACAGGGGGATCACGCTCTTAAGCCTCCCTGGTAAGGTCTATTCAGGGATTTTGGAGAGGAGAGTCTATCGAATAGTCGAACCTTGGGTTCATGAGGAGCATTGCGGTTTTCGTCCTGGTCGTGGAGCACTGGATCAGCTCTACACTCTCAGCAGGGTCCTGGAGGGTGCGTGGGAGTTTGTCCAACCGGTCTACATGTGCTTTGTGGACTTGGAGAAGTCGTTCGACCGCATCCCTCTGGGAACCCTGTGTGGGGTACTCTGGGAGTATGGGGTACCAGGCACTTTGATATGAGCTGTTAGGTCCCTGTGTGACCGGTGTCAGAGCTTGGTCTGCATTGCCGGCAGTAAGTCGGGCTCATTCCCAGTGAGAGTTGGATTCTGCCGTGGTTGCCCTTTGTCACTGATTCTGTTCATAAAAGTTATGGACAGATTTTCTAGGTGCAGCCAAGGTGTTGAGGGAATCCGTTTTGGTGGCCTTAGGATCACGTCTCTGCTTTATGCAGATGATGTGGTCCTATTGGCTTAATCAAATTGTGAGCTACAGCTTTTGCTGGAGCAGTTTGCAGCTGAGTGCGACATAGCCGGGATGAAGATCAGTTTCTCCAAATCCGAGACCATGGTCTTGAGTCAGAAAAAGGTAGATTGCCCTCTCTGGGTCAGGGTCCTGCCCCAAGTGAAGGAGTTCAAGTATCTTGGGGTCTTGTTCACGAATGAGGGGAAAATGGAGCGTGAGATCGATAGGCGGATAGGTGCAGCATCTGCAGTGAAGCGGGCACTGTACAGGTCTGTCGTGGTGAAGATAGAGCTGAGTCAAAAGGTGAAGCTCTCAATTTACCAATCAATCTACGTTCCTACCCTCATCTATGGTCATGAGCTTTGGGTTGTGACCGAAAGAACGAGTTCTCGGATACAAGCGGCTGAAATTAGCTTTCTCCGCAGGGTGTCTGGGCTCTCCCTTAGAGATGGGGTGAGAAGCTTGATTATCTGGGAGGGACTCAGAGTAGAGCCGCCGCTTCTCCACGTCGAGAGAAGCCATTTGAAGTGGCTCGAGAATCTGGTTAGGATGCCTCCTGGACGCCTCCCTGGTGAGGTGTTCCGGACACGTCCCACCAGTTGGAGACCCAGAGGAAGACCCAGGACACGCTGGAGGGACTATGTTTCTCGGCTGGCCTGGGAACGCCTCGGGATTCCCCTGGAGAAGCTGGGCCTCCCTACTTAAGCTGCTACCCCCGCAACCCGACCCCAGATAAGCGGAAGAAAATGGATGGATGCATGGATGGATGGATGGATGGAGTTGATCAGTTTTTCTAGAACCTTGGCTAAAATGCAGAGTTTAGAGATTGGCCAATAGTTGTTCAGTGAGGTGGGGTCACCTCCCTTCAGCAAAGGAAGAACAAAGGCTGTTTTCCAAGCATCTGGAATGGAGTTTGGGCTTATGGACAGGTTAAAGATGTGGGACACAGGGACTAGACAAATTGGTTGCAGTAACTCGGAGAAACAAAACGGCAGTGGTCCAGATTCAGCTGGCCAGATGTCGAAAACATAAGACCTGCTGACACACACACATGCAGACTCGCACATACACACAGAAGGAGGAAGAGAAAAGAAGGCTGGCGTTCATCATAACTAAGGCCAGAACAGCACGTGCCACGCCGGCGATCTGCCGCTCAACTGCAACTAAACCCCACATGGGTTGCGAGCCATGTATTGGGAGCAAGAAGAGGAAACAAGATGCCAGAACAAGCATCGCAGCTTCCTTTTATATCCCGCCCACCTCATTTAACCAGAACTGACGTTTCAATAGCAATGTATATTTCTATGCTGCTGCACTAACAAAATATATTTTATGTCATTAAACAACTTGTCAGATTCCAAAAAAGTTCAATCTGGTCCTCTGGACATTCAAAAAACCAAAAAACAAAACAAAGCAAAAAAAATGTAGATATGTTTTCTACCTGGATTATTGAGCATGCATCAGGATAACTTGTCAGATTCTTCTCTTGTGAGCATGCGTGTTGAAATCAAAGTCCGCACAACCTGTTGGATGATGTTTCCTTGTCAATCTTTACGTGAAACAAAACATGTTAGTCATTTTACCAGGAGTGGGATGGGACAGGATTTTTTTTTTTTTACTCTGGACCAGGATTGGGATGGGACGAGATTTATTTATTTTTTCTGTGGGAGTGGGATGGGACATGGGATTAAAAGACTACATATTTTTTAAAGTCGGCATTAACATGATCAAAGTTGAGCTGACCAGCCTTGAAAGAGGTAAAAAGTTCTTAAACTTCAGATGGACTGCTGCCAGTGATCCATCAGCCCAAATGGACATTCATTCGCTCAGCAGACGTGCACAGCCGAGACCCAAACAGGTGAGGTCGCAAAATATCTGACATGTCGGTGCAGGATGCAGGCAGAAGCAGGGGAAGCATTTAATGCGCTTTGATAGCTCTTCAGCTCTTCAGCTCTGATCTCCTGCCCCCTCAGCTGTGTACATCTGCCAACCGTTAATAATAGTCAGTGGTATAAGCATTCAAAGCTTAATTAAAAATGTCAGTTTTTTTTCTGGGTTCGAACCTGTAATTACTGTTAATTCGTCAAATCGGGTGGGGTTCGGAGATGATGGCTGCGGGCTGGGGCTGGTTCGGTTTGGATTATTTGGACCCGAGTGTAACTCTATTTTAATGTCACTTTAATTGGTGATATGTGACTTATCTGTGCTGCTGATGTTGCTGATCTCATGCTGCTGTATCCATACTCATCTACTCACCACACACTCATGTTCGGGCTGCTGTGTAATATACAGTTTTATTTTACATTAGTGTTTAGTGTATATCTTAGATCTTTTAGCATTTGTTTAGTGTATATCAGTTTACATCTCAGATCCTTATTTACTGTTTTTTTATACTTTATATTTTTGCTATTTTTGGGTGTAATTGGGACTCTGAGTACACCGTTTTGTTCCACGTGATGCCAGTGACAATAAAGAACCTTGAACTTGAGATGACCTCTTTATAAAGTCCAAGTTAACAGTTTTGTACTTTATTTAGCTCAGCCTATAGAAATGTGTTATTTCTTCTTGTTTCAGGCTGCAGCAGGAGCGTCTGGAAGCAGCCCGTGTTGCTGAGGAGATGGCCAGGAAGGCAGCAGAGGAGGCCGTCCGACTACTTGAGGTTGAGCAGTCGGCTAAGATCATCATACAAACTCTGCCGGAATCCAATGAGCCGTGAGTGCGATGAACACGGATGGATAAACTGAGGTTCAGGTTGGCACTGATGAATGTGAGCTGAGCTTCTGCTGATTCCCAACAGACTGCCCAACATCCTGGAGGAGGAAAATGAAGATGATCCAGAGTAAGTCGATCTTCCTGCTGAAGCCATGAATTATTCTCTGTCGCTGCGACAGATTTCCATCATATTAAAAAATTAGGAGGAAGAACGTGTTTTGTTGTGGACTTGGTATAACCATCCAACCTGCCGATACAGGGATTAAACTGATGCTGCTTTCAACTGATAATGAGAACCAGAGCTACAGTTTACCATACCATACCATTTTATTTATAGAACACTTAAAACAGCGACAAGGCCAACCGAAGTGCTGTACAGACAGAACAACAGACAACACACAAAGCGATATACAAAATTTTTTCATTCATTTTCATTCAACCTTTATTTAGACAGGTAAATCCCATTGAGCCTCGAGGACTCATTTACAAGAGAGACCTGAAGTATGAATTAAAAAAAAAATAAAAAAAATAAAAATGAAGTAAATCAGAATATAGACATAAAAACCATGCAGATAATAAATATGATGACAAACCAGTGTAGAGCATACAGGTTCAAAACACAGAGCCTCTGGTGTTGAAAGCTACTGTTTAGTAGTGGGTTTTTAAACGGGATTTGAAAACCGAAAGGGAGGGGGCCTGTCTGACAAGCAGAGGTAACTCGTTCCAAAGTCTTGGGCCTGCGACAGAGAAGGCCCTGTCACCTCTGTGCTCAAGACGAGTTCCTGGAACTGTGAGGAGCAATTGGTCTGCTGACCTCAGGGAACATGGAGGGACATACGGTTGTAGCAAATCTGAGAGATGGGGGGTGCGAAACTGTTCAGCGATTTGTAGACATACAGGAGTATTTTCAACTGGATTCGAAGTTGAACCGGTAGCCAATGCAGTGAGGCCAAAACTGGTGTAATGTGCTCTCTTTTGCCTGTACTGGTAAAAATCGGGCTGCTGCATTCCATTCAAAATTCAATTCAATTCAAAAATACTTTATTAATCCTAGAGGAAAATTATTTGTTGTTGTAACTTGTTATCCTCATTTCATTGAGATGTTATAGATACAGATGGCTGTAGGCAGGAAGGATCTCTTGTAAAGGTCCATCCCACAGTGGATCCTAAGAAACTGGCTGCAGATGCCATCTGATCCGTCCACCCAGACTCGGCTGGCTTCTCGGTTCCCCTGGGCTGTAGGACCGCCCAAATGCTGGGCAGAACTCCTCCCAGAGCGATGGCCACTCCTCCCAGCAGTCTGCCGAGCTCCTCGTAGCTGCGGACAGCCAACTTTAGGTGCCGAGGAGGGACGATCCTGTCCTTCCACTGTCATGAGCCGTGTTTCCTGCTAGTTCCAGGATCTCAGTGGTCAGGCACTCGAGCATAGCTGGCAGGTAGATGAGAATGCATCCACAGAACATCCTTTTCAACTCACTTGAGATTTGGGGCTGTAGTTGAGATATTTTTTGAGATGTTAATCAGCTGTTGTTGGTTGTAGAAAACTGCCTTGTTGCCATGGTTACGCATCATAACAAATGTCCAAAACTAAAAAAGTTTCAGTAAAAATCCTTTCAGCTACACAGCATATGATACCAGAGGAAACAATCATCCAAAAAAATGTGATTTACATCCAGAAAAAGAGGAATTAAAGTTTCCAAAAGCAAAATCTCCAAATGAAAGTAACAGAGCTGCTCCAACATGCAGCCACCTTGAGCGGCACAATTCTAGAAAATTCTGGACCAGTTGTAGTCGTGCAATCGAGGTCTGACTGATACCAAACAGGAGTGAATTGTAGTAAACAAGCCTAGATGTAATGAATGCATGTATTACTGTCTCCAGGTTATTTTTGGACAATATGGGCTTCAGTTTAGACAGCCACCTCAATTGGAAGAAATATGATTTAACAATCATGCTTACATGATTGTTAAGTTTCAGGGAAGGGTCCATTATCACTCCCAGATTAGTGACTCTTTGTTTTCCTGACAGGGATAGAGTGGAAAGGTCGATGAAGTGGTTTGTGATCGTGTCATTGGGAGGGAACAACATGACTTCAGACTTCTTTTTATTAAAACTTAAGTTTAAAGCCATCCAGTCCCTGATGTCAGCCAGGCAGTCGAGCAGAGGTTGAAAAGAGCATGTACCATTGTGTCTTGGGAGAAGTAAATTTGACAGTCATCGGCGTAGAAGTGAAAGGGTATGTTGTGTTTCTGGAAAATAGCATCAAGTGGCAGCAGGTATAAAGAGAATAGGAGGGAACCCAGGATGGACCCCTGCGGAACTCCCCATTTAAGCTCTGTCGCTGCAGAACTAAAATCCTTGATGGAGACACAAAAGGATCTGTCAGTGAGGTAGGATCTGAACCAACTGAGGGCTGACCCTGCGATGCCCACCCACTGCGCCAACCTAGCAATAAGGATATCATTGTCGATGGTGTCAAAGGCGGCTGTGAGGTCCAATAGGACAAGCAGCACAGAATCACCGGTATCTGTAGATATGAAGATGTCATTAAAAACCTTCAATAGGGCAGTTTCAGTGCTGTGGAGAGGTTTAAAGCCATATTTGAATAGCTCTAAGATGATGTGATTCTCCAGGAAGCACTTCAATTGGGACTCAACTATTTTCTCCAGTATTTTCTAAACAAATGGGAGTCTGGAGTCAGGCCGGAAGTTGGATACGACTGAGGGGTCAAGGTTTGGTTTCTTCAGGAGAGGCTGGACAGCAGCATGTTTAAAGGTTTTTGGTACCACGCCAGTGGATAAACTACTGTTTACTATAGCAAAAATGGACGGCCCTAGAGTAGGAAAAACCTCCTTTAGTAGTCGAGGAGGGACCACATCAAAGGGGGAACCAGAAGGTTTCAAGCTGCACATGACCTGCTCTAGAGAAGAAAGAGTGATGGGTTCAAAATGGTCAAATAGAGCTACAGCTTGAGGTGGGATGGATGGGTCATGAGTTGGTGGTCGCAATTTTTTCCAAAAAGAAATGTAAGAAGTTCTTGCACAGCTCAGTCGAGGCTTCCAGAGGTGATGGTTCAGTGACGTGGAAAACAGAGTTTAGGGTAGAGAAGAGGACACGTGGGTTGTGAGAGTTTGAGGTTATGATATCAGAAAAATATTTGGATTTAGCACCTTTTACAGCTTTCTGATAACGGCGCCAACTCTCTTTAAGTATTTGAAAAGAGACCTGCAGCCTGTCTTTCCTCCACTTGCGCTCCACCCTCTTACATTGCTGCCTAACGGCCTTGGTGACGTCACTCAGCCAAGGTTCTGCGCTGAGTTTTGATTTTCTAGTTTTAATAGGAGCGGCATGATCCAGAGTCTTTAAACAGACAGAGTTGAACTGGATTGTCAGCCCCTCAGTGGTGGTGAGAAACACCGGGGGCTGACTTATTTCAGAGTTATAAGCATCTGTGAAACATGCAGCAGTGAAGTGGTTAATGGTTCGGCTGCGATGTGCAGGAATGCACGGCTTAGGAGTTAGATGGTGGAGGGTGAACTCAAACTGGACTGGCATGTGGTCTGTAAAAACATTATCACCTATTTCAAGATTACTAACAGTCACATCACGAGTTAAAACAAGGTCCAATGTATGTCCACGCTCTTGGGTGGGACCGTTTACATGCTGCGTTAGATTAAATGAGTCCAATAAATCTAAAAAGTCCTTATCCAACAGCTTCTCCTGACAGCACACATGCAAATTAAAGTCCCCAATAATGAAAGCATGATCATATTTTGGTGTGATTTCAGCCAAGAAATTAGAAATCTCATTTATGAAATCCTTAGATCGAGGTGGGCGGTAGTGGGGGTCCAGAAATACGCTCATATTGGTCCAAATAAACGACATCTGCGGCAGACATTCGAATATCCAGAAGCTGTTGTCGGTCATACACCAGCAGCGAGTTTATGTTCCAGATAAAAAACAAACAAAACACAAATAATCCGAACACCATCAGCAGAGTTGGATTGTAAGCCATGTACACGGGCGCTATCTCACCGGATGTAAGCCGCTCAGATCAGAGCAGGGCCTGCTGCCTGGTTCATGGTGAGCCAGGGTGTAAGCAGCAGAGAAACTAGGTGAAAGCTCACCTGTAGCAATCCAAGGAGGATACCCCACTTCCCTAACAGATTCGCCCACCCCCACTTGAAGGTGATACCATACCATACCATACCACTTTTTTTATAGAGCACTTAAAACAGCGACAAGGCCAACCAAAGTGCTGTACAGACAGAACAACAGGTAACACACAAAGCAAAATACAAAATGAGGTAAATCAGAATATAGACATAAAAACAATGCAATAGAGTCATGACATGTGTAATGAACAGATACCTGTGTGGTATTATCCATAATTTAAACGGATTCTTTCATTTTTCTGGACTGAGTGCTCTCGTGCCTTGAATGATTAAATGTGGACGGAAACGTGTTTTAATTTCTGACTCACCAACAACAGTGAGCCGTTTAATTAAAAACGATTTAAAACAACATCACACATTTACATTAATTGACAGATTGATTACAATTAACACAGCTTAATTAATGAGCTTTGCACTGAGAAAATCATACGGCCATGATTCTCTCACTTGCAACTGAAATACAACAGACATTTCTGAAAATATCTGGATTAATTACTGGCAGATATAAGAGTTTTAAAGATGGGAAAATGAAGTTTAAGTGGAGAGAGATGGGTGAGGGAATGTGTCTGTTATAACCAGAAACACGTTCCTTTGGACGCAGCTTAACCCACGGTACACTTCGCAGTTGAAGATTGACTCTTTACCTTTGCAGACGATAGTTCGGCCTCGGGGTAGAGTTGCCTTTCAACGCTTTTCAGCGTCTCCGTAAGGACAGCTGTGACCTCAGGAGTCGTGAGATCATCACTGAACAGACTTCCTCATTGTTCAGAGCTTTCGTCGGGTAGAGCCACAGCGGGACGTCGTGGCATCGACGGACTCTCGTCACTCCATTAGAAACTGCCCTGAACTTCTGTTCCTCGGAGCTTCTCGTTCGAGGTTCTCCCTGGAACTCTGGTTCTCTCTGGAACGTTGTTCAGCTCGGAACTTTGTTCTGCTTGGAACTAGGAAGTGT